AATTTGATCAAGGATACGGGGGTTCGCCAAGACCGAGGGTCTCGACATGGTGCTTCCCAAATTCTCCATAGAAGTACGGTTTTACTCGCTGTCCATTCACAATGAACAACTCTCCCTTCGCGGGATTGCGGAGTCGGACGGCTCCAAGTGATAGCACTTCATCGACGACGTAGGGTCCGCTCCAACGGGACTTCAGCTTTCCCGGAAAAAGTCGAAGGCGGGAGTTGAATAAGAGTACCTTCATGCCGGGCACAAGAGTTTTCCGGACAATGGTTGAATCGTGAAGCCTCTTGGTCTTTTCCTTGTAAAATTTTGAGTTCTCGTACGCTTCATCCCTCAACTCTTCAAGCTCCGAGAGTTGCAACATCCTTTATTTCCCGGCGGCATCAAGATCAAAGTTCATCTTCTTAATGGCCCAAAATGCCTTGTTCTCGATCTCGACCGGAAGGTGGCACGCTTTTCTATAGACTAGCCGAAAAGGGCTCATCCCCAAAACTCTTTTGTAAGCTGTCCTTTGGGCCCACAGTGCATCATCAAGCAGACTCGACCAATCCTTCCTAGACGAATTCACTGTCTTCTCGAGAATGGTCTTTATCTGCTTGTTACTCGTTTTTGCCTGGCCCGATGTTTGAGGATGATAAGGAGTGGCCACCTTATGAGAAATACCGTATTTCTTCATCAGCTTTTCAAAGACACGGTTGCAAAAATGCTTCCCTCCATCACTCACAATAGCCCGTGGAAAACCGAACCTGCTCAAAATATGTCCTCGCAAAAACTTGATAACCACATTAGCATCACATGTCCGTGTGGGGATGACCTCAACCCACTTGGACACGTAATCTACAGCAAGAAGAATATTCAAAGCCAAAAGATATGGAAAATGGTCCCATAAAGTCAATACCCCAAACATCAAAAATTTCAATTTGTAAATTGTTCACAAGGGGCATTTCATTCCAAGGACCAATGTTCCCAAGTCTTTGGCATCTATCACAAGATTTGCAAAAACTATGAGCGTCTCTAAAGAGAGTTGGCCAAAACAAACCTGATTGGAGGACTTTAAAGGCGGTCTTTCGACCTCCAAAATGTCCCCTACACTGAAGCTCGTGGCAAAAGGTAAGGACATTCAATTGCTCTTCCTCGGGCACACACCTCCGTAGAATGTCATCTTTTCCTATCTTGAAAATGAATGGGTCATCCCAAAAATAGCTCCTGCACATCAACAAAAAACGTTTCCTTTCTTGGGAAGAGAAGTTAGCTAACAAAACACCGTCTGATAGATAATTCACT